AAAAAAAAAAAAAAAAAAAAAAAAAAAAAATGTAGGTGATCCAAAGTGTATCTTTTAATTTTTTGTGTGCATACTTTGTACCCTTTTGTTTTGGATTGAAGCCATCCTGGCACAATTATTTATCTAAAGAGAGCATGGCTGCTATAGTCTTGAAGGAAGCCCATTTGGTATGGGACAGTTGTGCAGCTAGGGACAGACGATCTGCTTTGATTGGCCTTCTCTTGAACAGGGAGGTTTGAGTAGGAGCCTTCTGAGTGGAGCTTGTAGTTCCTTATTTTAAAAGGGAATCAAAGGGGGAGTCTTTGCATCAAATCTTTTCCCTCTTGGGGAATTAGTTTCCTTATTTGAAGCGGTTTCACTATGACATTCCCTCCAACATTGAGATAGCAGCCACCTGTAATGAAGATCATAGAAAACTTGGTGTGCTAGGGTCTGGGTTTAGGTGCTGAAGTGTGAAAAGTTTAGGGTTTTTTGCCTCTGCTATACTCATTTCAGAAAGTGCACATTTAGCTACCCTATTTTGCCATATGATACAAGAGTTAACATTTCTAATTATGAATTGTTCTATTAAATGGGCCAAGTTTTCACTTAGACATCCTGTTCTGAATGGGACCACATGCAGTGATCATGGCTTTAATCAGGCAGTGAGGACTATAAACATCTTCTGTGGACAGTCCAGGTAGAAGGCAGAAGAAGCCTTTTGGGTAGAGGTACCTGTTTGTGTAAAGTTCCATTTCTTCCATAGGGTGACGTACTTCTAAGATCCATATAGGAATGTAGCCTCTTGCCTCAGCACCCTAGCATGGGAGGAGCATGCCAAATGCCTAGTGGACATTAGAAGTCCAACTGGAAGAGATTCATCCTAGCTATCCAGTGCATTTCCCCATGTGACCGTGCCATAGCCAGTTACCACCCTTGGGCTAGAGTTCACTGCTGGGAAATGCTAAGAATGGTACGTCCTGAAATTGTTTTATAGAATTAGGACTAGGGAGAGGTGTGGAAAGCCCTGAAGGTCTGTGTACTTTGTGGCTCCAGGCAACTGCTCAGTCTCTGCAGAGCCCTTAGTGAAAGCTTTCCAACCAGTCCTGGGAACCTCTGGGCTGGAGGCAAAGCGGAACAAGGAACAAGGTGGCATTCCTAGATTTAGCCCTTCATCTTTGGATGACTTAAAATGACCACTAGCTTTGGCATAGACACTCGGAGCTTAATGGGAAAAATGGTAGCAGTTGCTAATCTGTCGGTCATGTCTAAAAAGCAACCACCTGAGTTATAAATGTGTTCCTGTTTAATCGACTCGATCCAGCCTGACTGCACCTATGGTCACTTGGGAGCAGAAATGCCTCCCATTCAGATGATGATTGAATCTGCCCAGGAATAGCCTGAGTATTTGGACTGTTTTTGTTTTGTTTTGTTTTGTTTTGTTTTGTTTTTGTGGTGCTGGGGTTTAAACCCAAGGGCTTTCCCACTGAAATACATTTATTTTGAAACAGGATCTCACTAGGTTGTCCGAATGGGACTTGAACTTGTGATCCTCCTGCCTCAGCCTCTTAGAGTGCTGGATTGCAGGCCTGCGCTGTTATTCCAGGCTGTTTGGACTTTTAAACTACACTACGAAATTCTTGTTGGCAGCTGAGGTTGAGGACTCCTCTGGGGCTGTGCTGTGTGTGAGTCCTGTGCGTGGTGTCCTCCCTTCCTAGAATACAGCTCTGAGTGCTGATTGACCTACAGCGAAGCTCTCATATCTCTGAATAGCTGAGGCTATCATGATACCCAGTCTGGCCTTTTCCTTGGGAAGAGACAGAGACCTTGGAGTCCTGAGATTTCCACGCAATCCACAGGAGCCAGGAGAACTGTTGATAGGGGAATAATGATAATAGAAGGGAGATAATGCTTTTTATAAGTTTTCTTTCATTCGATCATTTTAACAACTGTGTGATGTCAGTTTTATTGTGCTAAATAAGGTGAGGCCATGAAGATCACAAGAGATGATGATATTAACTCAGTAAGTGAAGCAGTGCAGGTTGGAATCCAGGAACAGTTGCCATCCCTGACGTCAGACCAGGGACATTTCTCCTGTGTCACCTTCCCTCGAAGGGAGAGCAGGAACCATTTCTTTTTTAATCAGCCACAGGTACTAAACTATGCACTTCAGTAAACCCACTCATAAGTCTGGCATTAAATTAGAAAAGCAGTCATCACAGCATGACTTAAATGAATATTGCGGTAATTTTTCTTTTTTTCCAGGGCAGCGTCGTAGAGGGGCACAAAACCATTATACAGTCAGAAATGTTGGCATCTACTCTCTGAACCTGAGTTTCCTGTTCATAAAGTAGGATTAGTAACAGCCACTATTTTCTGTATCAAGGCTGTTAATGTATGCAAAAACAGTTTGAAAACGCACTATTGTTTAAACTTCTAAAGCCCTTTCACCCCAGTTATAATCAGCTCATCACCTTTAAATGCATTTGCTCATGACTATTTTTAAAACTTAACTGAAATCATTTGAATGGATAGATCTAGAAAGGGAAAGATTTGGAAGAATCTGAACTTTGTGCTAAAGCAAGATTAGCCATTCTCCTGGAACATCACAGGCAAACATCTGAGCTCTTTGGAATCTGCAGTATGAGCTCAAATCTCTGAGCTTGTGCCTCCCTGTGCATTTGTCTCTCTGTTGATTTCCTGGATGAATGATACAGTTTTATTTTTACATTTTAATCTGCTAAAAGGAGATACTATTAAAGAATGTAAAATATTCTTCTATGAAAAATAAAATTTCATGAAGTTACAGACTAACATTAGTTAATATATTATGTATTATAATCTTAAAAAAATGGCTAAAATGTTACTCAGAGTACAGGTCATAGACAAAGGACTCTTACAAAGAATAAACAGAAGCACAGAACTTTTTCTTCAGTGAACTGAGAAACTAGTAGTATAAATGTAACAAATTAGCACATATATTAAAATATTTTGAGACAATAAAATAGATAATTTGGGGAATTATTTGGACTTCTCCCTACCTCCAGTGTATCTTAAGATAAACCTTGTGATATTTAATTGTGTATCTCATTTCACTTAACATGACCTCATGTTGCATCCACTTGCCTTTGCTTGCCTCACGTTTATCTTTCTTTATGGCAGAGTAGTACTCCATAGTACAACAGTGAATAAATGTATAAATACCATATTTCCTTATCCATACATATGTTGATGGAGATATACCCAAGATCTAGCTATTATAAATTGTGCTGCTATAAACATGATACAGACATGTATCACTGTAATAGCATAATTTTGACTGTTTTGGAAAGACACTTAGAAGGGCCATAGCTGGGCCAAATGGAATTTCTATTTACAGTTTTTTGAGGAATCTCCACATTGATTTCCGTAATGGTTGTACTGTTTTACCTTTCACCAACATTGTAGAAGAGTTCCTGTTACCCCGTGTCCTTGCCAGCATTTGTTATTAGATTTTTTTGATGATGGCCATTCTTTCTGGGGTAAGACAGTATCCCAGCCCAGTGGAGTTTTAATTGCATTTCTGGCAACATTGAACATTTTTTCATGTTTTTATTGGCCATTTGTACTTCTTTTTTTTTTAAGATGTGTCTATTCATTTTAGCTGCCCATTTTGTGATTGGGTCTTTTATTTTGGGGGCTTTAATTTGTTGAGTTGTTTTCCACCACCCATTCATGGTAAAAGCCCTGAAGAAATATACAGAGGGACCTTAACTCAATCTGATAATAGCCATTTATGACTGCTCTATGCCCAGCATCATATTAGATGGGGAAAATTGAAAGTTTTCCCTCTTAAAGTCAGGAATAAGACAAGGATGTTTATTATCACCACTTCTGTTCAACATAGTCCTAGAAACATTAGCCACAGCAATCAGGCAAGAAAAATAAATAAAAGGGATATATAGAGAGGAAAGGATGAAGTCAAAGTATCTATTTGCAGATGACATGATTCTCTGTGTACAAGACCCAATGAATTCCACCAAAAGACGCCTAGAATTAACAACCAAATTCAGCAGTCTAGATACAAAATAAACACAAAAATTAATAATATTCCTATATTCTGATAATAAACTCATTGAGAAAGAAATTAGGAAAACAATACCATTCATAGTAGCATCAAGAAAAATTAAATACTTAGGAATTAACCTAAATAAGGAAACAGAAGACCCCTCCAGTGAAAATTACATCAGTCTGCAAAAGGCAGTTGAGAAGCACATCAAAAAATGGATAGGGAGAACTAAACGATCAAAAGGCCATACTTCCAAAGCTGATTTATGAATGTAACACAGTCCCAATCAAAATACCAACAGCATTTCTCACAGACCTAGAAAAAACCATCCTAAATTCTTATGGAGCTAGAAGAGACCCAGAGTAACAAAAGCAAAGCAAGCATAACAATTCCAGATGTAAAGATATACTACAAAGCTACTGTTGTTAAAAAACAGCATGGTACTGGCACAAAGACAGGCATGTGGGTCAGTGGAACAGAATAGAGAACGCAGGAACAACTCCAGAGACACATTCAGCTGTTTGATCTTTGACAAGGGCCAAAAATATACACTGCAAGAAAGGTAGCCTTTTTAATAAATGCTGCTTGGAAAATTGGTTGTCCACAGGCAGAAGAATTGAGTCTAGACCCATATATCTTATTGTGTACTGTACTAAAATCAAAATGGACCAAAGATTTAAATGTTAAAACAGAAACAATCTGCTGGAAGATAAAATAGGTAGATAAAATTCTTGAAGACATAGGCATGGTCAAAGACTTTCTGAGCAGAAGCCAGTGGCACAAGAAATAATACTGAGAATTAATAGTGGGATCATAAAATATTAAAAAGCCTCTTCACAACAAAGGAAACAACCAACAGTAAATAGACAACCTACAGAATGGGCCAAAACATTCTGACACCTATTCCTGTCAGCGTACTAACACCTAGCATGACTTTCTGTGTCTCCAGAGAACCAGACCACAATCTGATACAGCCAACTAGCTATATTCTGGGGGAAGAGAGTGTAGGTGTTCATGAAATTCAGATCTTTTAATGTTTAAAATCCAATTTTACAGTAGTTCTACAAATAATTTAAGTGAGTAGCTTAAGTTGTATAGTTTGCCAAAAGTTATTTATTTAAAAAGGGGGAACCCCTTTGTGGGTGATACTCCTATTTTTCTGGTAGGTATAAAGCAACCACTAATTTTCTAAATCAGCATGCAATTGGCTGGAAATTTCTAAAGCTATTTAATTTACTACACTGTGACCGGCTGTTTTTTACAAAGTCCCTACCTATATTTTACCAAAGAAGAAAGGTTATAATGTCTTAAAAGTAAGAGCAGTTTATTTTAAATATCAGTTGTGGTTCTGTGTTTAGAAAAGATTTAATAGCTGCTGAAAATGAGTACCAGATTGCTTTAATTTTAGGAGAGCATTTTCTTGATCATCATTCTGAATGAAATGTGACTCTTCAGATGGATTATTTGGCTTTCATTTAAGTATTGATGTTCAGACTGATCACAAATACTGTATGACATACTGAATCTGCTTATGAAAGACTGAACCTCTGTGTTTTGTTTTACAGTGTAGCTCTTGCAATATATTATCACATCAAAAACAGGTATGTGGATGATTAAATTGTGCTGAAAACACAGCTTGTTCTATTGCTTATTTTTTCCTATTATTTTGTAATTGTCTCAGACTTTTTTTTTATCTTCTTAACTAATTTTTTTTGTAGAATTTCTAATGATACAGTATAATTTTCTAACACTTCCCTTGTAAGTGATGAACTACTTCTGAATCAGAAGACACCAAATGGGTGTTTGGTTGAAATCAGCAGAACAGAACAAAGCTCAATAATTAACTTAAGCTTCCTCGTCTTTCCTTATTTTCTCTTTAATTTGTTTAAACATTCTTTTATAACATATTATTTTAAAACTTTGACATGAAAAAAAATATTAAATTTATTATATTTTGAGTTCATTCAAGGAAATTTTGGCATCCATTTAAACATAAACCGTTTTATTGTATTTGAAGCCCTCTCTTGATATAAAGTATGTTTGTCAGTGACTTGGTAAATGTAAAGAGTCAGTAAAGACAAGGAATTAAAAATACTACCTCAAACATGTTTTTTCAACATAAGAATACCTTCATTTGCCTTTCTTCTTCTTTCTCTTCTGGCTCCTCTTCCTCCTCCTCCTCTTCTTTCTTTTTCTTTTTTCAACTCAACATCAGCACTTTTGCCTCAAGCCTGGGACAGTAAGCCACACTTCTAATTCATCCTTTCTAGATGCTCTTTCACACACACCAATGGTGAGAAAACTCAGACATTTTGCAAAATACTGACTGTAGACTCTTGCAGGTTGTGACCATGCCTACTCTACAAAGAAGTTATTTTTAGTAATTTCCTTTCATTGGATTTTCCAAATCATCCTCCTAATTTCATAAGAACAAAGGCACTCTTATTTCCTGTATTTCATTGATTAATGTGATATTTTACATACATGAGTGTAAGAAGTGCAGCCGGTGTGATCTAGTTTTTCAGTAAGCAGAGCCACTCCTGTCAAGCATGGCTCTCGCCAGTGGTTCACATTCCCTGCAGGCTGTGCACGGACAGTGAATTAGGAATCAGTAAGCAGGGTCAGTGACAGAGCTCCGGGCAGACAGTGCTCTGGGGAAGCACAACCACCAGACTAGGACTCTGTGGAATAATTTTTTATATATTGTGTTTGTAATTTGCTTGAAATTCTTGAATATAAGAACATAAAAATGCTATAGCCTTGTTGCCCTTGAACTAGAAAAACGCTGAAAATATAAATTTTGTCTTGTTGCTAATTTCTGTGGTAGAAGTTCAAACTTAAAATATTTAACTTTAAAGTAATAGCATTAATACCATTAGTGAAACCCAGCTCCCCCCCCACACACACACACTGGGGATTGAACCTAGAACCTTTGTACTGAGCTACATCCCCAGCTCAAAACCCCACCCTTCTCTTTAAATTTTGAGACAAGGCCTTGCCAGATTGCCCAAGGATGGACTTGAACTTGCAAACCTAAGGTAATTCTTAGTTGTTATTTTTGTTTTGTTCTGCCTTAGGTCCTGGAGATAGAAGCCAGGGTCAGGTACATGCTAAGCTTGTTCTCTTACCACTGAGCCATACCCCAACCCAAATATCTTGCTTCCTGGACTGTCATGGCTCCTGATACTGATTTAGCCAAAGTTGGTAATTACAACAGCCAACTTTATAGTGCTCACCAGACTACTCTCTGCATTCTTTAAATATATTGTCTCCTGTAGTTTTAATAACAACTCCATGGGGTGCTGTTGATGGCATTTTCATTGTACAGATAGGCACCTTGAGGCACAAAGAGATGAAGTAGTTAAGATTATATGACGCGTACTTGGGCAGTTGGTAACTGAATCCAAACAATCTACCATCCAGACCTTTAATCATACTGCTTTTCTAGATTAATGGTAATGAGTTAGGTCAAAAGTGAGTGGAAGCCAGCCCTGGTGACACAAACCTATAATCATAGCATTCTGGGAGGCTGAGGCAGGAGGGTCACAAGTTCAAGGTCAGCCCACGCAATTTTATAAGATCCCATCTCTAAATTTAAAAGGCGGTGTTGAGGGCTGACGATACAGCACCGTATGAATGCCCTGAGTTCATTCTCCATTGCTGAAAAAAAAAAAAGTGAATGAAAGTGGAGAAAGTCCAACTAAAAATGTGATCATTTGTGAAGAGGTAGAATTAATCTGTAGATCAGAACCTGAGCTTGGCAAGTCTCCAGGGGAGGGCAGGTGTAACTGCTACTGAGCTCCTCCTCAGTGAACCATACACGGCAAAACCCTGGTGCTGGCAAGAGACTTAACGAGAGAGAGAGAGAGAGAGAGGAGAGATATGCCCGGCAGAGTATACAGCTTTTCCTGTAAGTTGGAAGGAACAGGTCACTTTGCAGAGGGTAGTTTTTCCAGTCATTTTTAGTTCAGGTTCTGCATCTTTGCTTCTATTTCTAATCTCCATTTTCATTATTAAAATTACTTCTGGTGAATGTTTCTCTGGAGTTTCAGGGGCTGGCATTCATCAGGAAGATTGAGCAGAACCTGTAGTCACCTAAGACAGTGAGTGCTCTGCCACAGTGCTTGCTTGTGTACCTCGTCCGCAAGCGGTATGGAAGGTGAGGGGATCTGCTGATTGTGAGGAGGAGTCATTATCAAAGGAGGTGCAGCCAGTGCCCCAAGAAGGAGCTGTCCTTACTCTCTGTCTTCTGCTGTTGGGTTAAGCCTTCCTGCCACTTGGATCTGTTCCAGTCTTTGCTGCTCTATTCACACAGCCAGGTGCAAGTGAGCACAGGGTTAGCAGCCAGCGCTTTACTGTCTGTTGTGCAAATGCAGGAATGAAAGTTGAGCTGTTTGTTAGCTATTTCTTCATTTTTACAGTGATAAACTTAGCCGAAATCATCCTGTCTGTGGAGATGGGTGTATGCTAGGGAGAAGTGTGTAAGCCTTCTGATGTTCCCAAGCCTAACCGACGCTGGAAGCACAAACTGGGAACAGCTGTACCTGCTGTTAACCCAAAAGTAGTGGCTTCCAGTTTGGGTTTGTAAAGAAAAAAATTAGGAAAAACTCAAATTACAAAAAAATGAAAATGGTGCTGTCACTGGTGAGTGCATTGGTTCCCATGGAGGCAGGTGTGGACATTGACACCACAGCTATAAACTGTGCTGTGCTTTCCAGCTGTGACCACCAGCCACGCTACACAGGCTCACAGCTTATGGGTGAAGCCTTTTTATTCTCAGTCAAATAGTCAGGCTGCTGTTACAGACATTCCCACTGATCTCCAGGCCCATCGGAAGATCATTCTCAAGCTCAGATGTCGTCCATGTCAGCCACCATGTGGTTTTGATTTATGCAGATCTGCTAGTATTTTCTCAGAAGTAGTCAGCGTGTTAAAAGACATTTAAGTATTATGCTTAGATTTAGTTCATATGAAAACTTGAAAAATTAAAATCTAGGTTTTTACTTAATTAAACTAAATATCTTGGCTCATAATATTTATTTTAGGCCTCTCCAGCCCATAGGCTGTGTGCAGTCCTGGATAGCGAGTGATGTGGCCCCTCAAGATTATAAGCTTTTATCATAATTGTGATTTTAGCAGTATTTTCCATGCTTACTTTGCACAGTGCTTAAGCATGGACTGTTATCGTACTCATTTTCCCATTGCTAGGAGAAAATACCCAACACCCTCAACTTAAAAAGAAGTTTATTTTGGCTCCCAGTTTTTTTTGGATTCAGTCCTTAGCTGGCTCCAAGGCAGAAACGGCATAGGGAAAAGCCTCATCAGAGAAAAGCTGCTCATTTGATGGCAGTCAGGAAGCAGAGAGAGACAGGAGCCTTCCAAGTCACTCCCCAGTGACCCGCCCCTTCTGACCAGGTTCCATTTCCAAATGGTAGACTCTTGGGGGACATTTTTAGATTTAACTGTAACAATGTAGTAGACAAGGCAACTCTACAAATGAGGGCACAGTGCCATGCTAACTCCGCCTCCCGAGCCCAACACACACGGTCACATTGAAACTCACGGGTGCATCGGACATTACATACGCACCTATAGTGTGGGGAGTGAGCCACTGCATGACCAGTAACAGTGTGCCTGTGAATATGGTCTTCACTGTTAGTAAGCAGACTTGTAAGTTTCCTTATTATTAACCTCGGACTTATGTTATTTTTTTCAATGTTAAAAAATAAAAGCCGTTTGGTTACTGATCTATTAACTATGCTGTGTGTTTGATATAAGGCCTAAGACAGCCCCTCTATAGTCAATACAGCCCAGGCAAGCAGAAGTCCGAACATCCGTGCTTTATTTCCATGGACTACTCAAAGTTGCTTACATATTGTACCCACGAAAGACAAGTCATTATGTACTAATTACCACAATCTCTTATATTTAGCACTGTTTCTTGAAGTAAAGTTGAATCAAATTGCATTTTTCTTATATTTTGAATGATACTGTTACAAAGAATCATTTCCATTTTCTGTTATTCCTTCCCTCCCCCCAGGGACCCAGATGGAAGGATGCTCTTAGATATTTTTGATGAAAACCTTCACCCTCTTTCGGTAATCTCTTTGTGTCATGAGATCATTTAATTTTCTTTTGCACCTATTTGATGACCAGTTGTATGACAGTATTTCCTTCCCTAGAAATCCGAAGTCCCACCAGATTATGACAAACACAACCCAGAGCAGAAGCAGATTTACCGGTTTGTTCGGACCCTGTTCAGTGCTGCGCAGCTGACAGCTGAATGTGCCATTGTCACCCTCGTGAGTACATTCGGGTCATTCCTTGAGCTCAATGGCGTAGGGGCACGCACAGTGTCCTCAGGGTGTCCCTGGGAGAATAGAGTATGTGTATTTGAAAAGAGAATGTTCCACAGTCCTTACCTAAAAGTCGTTTGTGAAGTCACGTTCAGCCAATAAATACTGGAATGTTGAAAGGAAGTGAGTAAAACAGTTGAGCTAAGGGAGACTAAGAAGAGTCAAGACCACCCCCTATTAATATCTGGTTTCCACTTGTTCATTCCTTATATTGACATTAGTGAGATGATGACTATATGGCATCTAATATGTACACCTGTGTAGGAAGGAATGTATAAATTGCAAGCCTGTGATTTATCATTTTGATATAATACATCTATAAAATATTCACACAATATGGAAGTCAGCTGCATTTCAGACTTCAGACAAAAAATGAAAATGGTCTTTAGATTCTTGCAACTGGACTGTTTAGGTCAAATCTCCTTTGGGAAGAGATTTAACAATGGAACCTATTGTGCATGACCTTTCATACTGTGTGTAACTCAGGTAAAAAATTAGCTTTGCTGTGAATGCGTTCTCCGGGACATCAGAATACCCTTCTCTGGAGCTTCTAGTGACCACTGTGTAACAGAAATTATACCAGTGACCTGGGGACTCCTGTGTCCTTTCCACACGAAGATCTTTGTGCCTTTAGGTTAGTTCCACAGTAAACATGTTTGCTTATGCATTTGTTTATTTTTTCTCCCTGAACTTGCAGGCTAAAGGGCAAACAGATGTTCAAGTCATTGTTTGGTGATTTAGAATGCTTATAGGTTCTAATGTTATAATTGAGAGCTATATTTATTTTGTTTCCCAGAAGGATTTTGGGTTCTTACAAAAAACACACAACAAAGCAACAGGTTTGAGTTTTTTATGTAGGGAAACTGAAGAGACTCTGTGCCTGAAGGAGAGGAAAAGATAAAGTGAGAAGAAACCATTGTTGAGAATAGTGCTGAAATTAATGCCACGAAAAAAGATTTATTTCCAAGCTGCTGTAGTGGAAGGTGGTGGAGGCATTTTTCTTTTTACTTTTTTTTTTTTTTCCTATACCAGGACTCAAACTCGGGTCCTTGAGCTTGCGAGGCAGGTGGCAGAACCACTGAGCTAAATCCCCGGCCCAACATTTTTCTTTTGAACCTGTAATTCCTGTGGAAAATAAGGCCTGACTCCCTCTTCACAGTGCCTTATTGCTTAAATTTATTAGAGTGAAGGAGAGGATTTGACCTGGGAAGACAAAGCTAGTGATTAAATCCCTGTTGCTCCCCCATTTCCCTTGTCTAGTCTGAACATGTAAGAGCACCCACATCGTTCTTTGATGTCAGCCTTGCTGACAGGAGGATTGACTAGTCCCTGCTTTTGGAGTACTGTAGGAGTGGCACTTTTTTGTGATAATTTGATGACTGAAGTCTTCATTTGCCCTGTCAGGATATTGGTTGTTATTGGAGGAGAGCCCCTCAGGAGTTTTCTGTGCCGGCTTCGGCCAGAAGTCCAGTACTGTTGCTGCTTGCCCGGAGGAGAGATAGCCTGTATGCTGTGGGCAGAAGGCAGGCAGACACATGCTCTCAGCGAGACTTGTTGGCAGTCTGTTTTCCTCTCTCATGTCCCCAGGAGGCAGAAGCAGTCATTTTGGACGGATCTGGTTTAGCGTTTTCAGACTTGCCCCTCTGCTTATGTTCCTCCTGCATATACACTTGGCAGCTCTCTTAGCCTGCTGTGGAGAAGGGGCTGCAGTTATTTGTATTTGTGGCTTTGCTGCTGGTAAAGAACAGCTGCCTTCAGACACCCAAGATCTAGTTAACTCAAAGCAGGTATTTCATAAATTAAAGGACTTTGTTTTAAAGGAATAATAGTCACATAGTATCACCGTATTTTTTAGCCTTGTAGAATATGCTGTGTAGACTATGTAGATACTAACATAGGGAAAGTAAAGTAGGGAGTGAGGTAATTGAATTGCTGAGTTAAGTTATGTTTTTCACATACGTTACTTTGCAAGGTACCCAGCAGCAGCTGAGAAAAAAGCCCAGTCCTTCAAGGTGAGGTGGGCAAGCCACAGCACCCCAGAGCCATGAGCAGACACCCATTTCAGTCGTGTTATGTTACTTGGGTGACAAAAGAAAGTTCACCTCCTGCTTGAGCCAGGGAACTTTGTAAGGACGAGGAACCCATTCAGAGGCCAGAGCAGAAGGTTTTCTAAAAGGTCCAGAGGTACCCATTGTGCTTTAGAACTGAAGTACTCAGACTGTCCTAAGAGCAGTGATAGGTTCCTTTCTCCTTGGGATGGGGGGGTGGGCACATCATTCATCCCTGTGGGTCTGGGGGCATTAATTTTCAGATGGCTATTATGGCTCAGATTGGAGGTGGCAGGGAAGTCTTTGTCTGAACCCTGAGTCTACAGCACTTTTCTCTTCAAGCCCTATACTGGCTAACTGGAAGAGCTTAGTTTTCATTTTGTGTAGATGGGATGAATTTTGATTGGCTCTGTTCCTTTGGGTCAGATTTTCCCCTGTAGAACAGGTGGTCATGACTGATTTGCCAGGAGCCTGTTCCCAGCCTTTGTTTTTCTTGCTTTATTCTCTCCTCTGTTCAAAGCCTGCAGTGCTTCCCCATCTTCTCAGAGGGAAGCATAAAGAAGACCTCCTTTGCCTCAACTTGGCTGCTAACACTGTCTCCTGCTGCCATGCTGCTGCTGCCCTCTGGCCCATTTAACACAGTACACACATCCCTGCCTCGCGAATTTCGCACTCATTCCTCTACCTGCCTTGCGTGTGCTACTCTTTGCCTCCTTCAGGTCTTTGCTTACCTGTGGGTCTTTTCCCTAACAGTGACATTTTAAATGGAAACTCCCTCTTTTCTGCCTTATTCCATCTCATTGTCTCTTCCTTTTCTCCATAATATTTAACACCTATTAACATTCTTAAGTTTAAGTCATTTATCTTATTTTTTGTCGGGAAGCTCCCTGAATAAGGGCATTTTTTTTTTTTTTTTTTTTTTTTTTTTTTGTCTGCATCAGTGGAGTGTGACCAGCATCTGGCGCATAGGCTCAGCAAATATTTATTGAATGTGGAACATGGTGCTATCTGCCTACTTGCCAAAGTAAGTGTAAATAGGGTTTATGTAACTCACATTCTGCCTGAAACATAAGGAGCATGCAGTAACCATGTTGCCATGTTTTCCTACCCCAGTACAGTGGTACCTCAGTTTATGAACACTTGTTTGTAAACAATTTGGTTTGCAAAAAAGCATTTGGCAAAGTTTTGTTTTTGTTTGAGAACTTTGCATCGGGTGATGAACGTGATTGTGGCTGTCTTTCCTGCACAAACACGAATGTGGCCATCTTTTCTAGAATTGTGGAATAAATTTAAGTTCATGAACTGAGGTACCACTGTAGTTTTATAACATTGAACATATTGTGCTGTTTCATTGCCTAAGCTATTAAAATAAGCTTTCTGAAAGACAAAGGCTTTAACTTTGGGGTCATCAACCTTGTTACACACAAAACTGATTCTGTCTGGAGAGCAGCAGTGATGAGAGATGGGAGGAAGTAATTGCTAGAAGGGAATCAGGCAAAATGTAACAAAGACTTGCATGTGGCAGAGGGAAAACTAACCAGACATGAAGAGATGTATTCCCCCTTCTTATTTTTTTTATGGCTCTGTCAATAGGTTAGATTCTTGTTGTGACAAAATGACTGAGAAACACAACTTAAAGGAGGAACAATGTATTTTGGCTATTGGCTAGTTCCATTGCTGTGGGCCTGAGGTGAGGCAGAAGATCATGTCAGAAATTCACAATGGAGAAAATCCGCTGGCCTTGTGGTAGCCAGCACGTTGTGGGGAGGGGATGAACATGCACTGGCCTGCTTCCCCCTCCCCTTTTGTTACATCCAGGCCCCCACCCTATTTGACAGTGCCATCCAAGTTCAGGGTGGTATTCCTCATCCATTGGCTGTCCTGCATGCCAATCATCTCGGGAGACACCCTCACAGATTCACCCAGAGATGTGCTTTAGTAATGTCCTAGGCATTTCTCAGCCCTCTTGAGATTAACTGTCACAATCCACATTTGTTTCACATACCATAATGTTCATTCGTTTAATGGGAATGCTTTGCAGAGGTGTTTATTGTATGATCACCACTGCAGCCTAATTTCAGAGTATATTTGTCACCCTGAAAAGAAACTCGTTGCCCTTTGGCATTTACTTTTTATTCCCAACCCCTCCCCCAGGCCCAGGCGATCAGTAATGCACTTTCTGCCTCACTAGAGTTGTTCATTCTGGATAATCCATGGAAACGGAATCATGTTATGATTATTTGTGACTGGATTATTTTACTTAGTATGTTTTCAGGGTTTATCTACATTGCAGAATATATGTTATTGCATTGTTTTTACTGGTAAGATACATTACAGTGTATGGATGTACTACACATACTGTTTACCTATTTATCAATTGATAAACATAGAGGTTGTTTACACTTTTTAGCTCCTGTGAATAATATTTCTGAACATCTATGTCTTCATTTCTCTGAACATATATCTAGGAATAGGATTGCATAGTCATAAGTAACTGTTTAACACTGAGAAATAGACTGTTCTCTGAAGTGGCTGTATCATTCTACATTTTCATTGCAGTATTACAAGATTTCTAATTCTCTATATCACATTGTTTTTTCAACACTTGCTATTGTCTGTGTTTCTACTTTAGCCAGTCTAGTGAGTGTACAGTGGTACCTTGGCTCATGAATGCTTCTGTCTGCGAACAATTTGATTTGCACACAAAAGTATTTGGCAAAATTTTGTTTTGGTTTGCAAACTGTATGTCACCTGACAGGACCACAGCCATCTTTCCCTCTTACACACAAATGCGCCCATCTTTTCCAAAATTGTGAAACAAAGTAAGTTTGTGCACTGAGATACCACTGTAACTTGTTATTTCATTATAGTTTTGCTCTGTGTTTCACTAATGCTTTA